CTATCTTCATTTTATTGTCTTCTTTTCCCTCTTGATGCCTGCTTTAATTGACTGTGCATTCTTTGACTGATGAAGTTGGGAGAACTGAAACTGGGAGAATTGCTGGATACACCACCTCCTGGCTTAGATGAGGCTATTGCCATTTCTAAAGTATGTGATATCTTCCCTGCTTATATACTGGTTTTTTATTACATCTTTTCCTGCTTACTGATTGTAGAAACTTTTACTAGGTGATGCAATTTCTTGAATCCCCCGAATATGGCATATTTACTCGCATTGTTTTTGATACTGCACCCACTGTAAGTGAAAGCGCAACAATTCATATTCCCTTATTTTTAAGATCAAACTATTGAGCATGATATCTTGTCTTTTTTAGGGCCATACCCTGCGACTTCTATCATTGCCGGATTTTTTAGATGCATCCATAGGTAAAATTTTGAAGGTATGGAAGCAAACTTGAAGTACTGAAACCAATAGATCTCTTATTCTTCTCCTTTTTCCCTTCTCTCCTTTTTCTAATAGACCTAATGTTTCATATTGCTTTAAAACATCCGTTGATGGCTGAATTAAATGAGTTGTTTATGAGAGTGTGTTATTGAGAACGCAAGCTGCATGCAATATCTTGGAAGTTTTTAAGGGATAAACTGCATAACATTTTTCTTCACACAGTTCTAATATTCTTTTATGTGGTGAGGGAGGAAATCATATAGGTAGCAGATATCTGAAATACAAACACTTCTGTTATATGATTATTGGAATCAATATAATATGAGGATGTAGATTACAGTTCAATACATATGTTAACCCTACTCGTCACCGAAGACTGCCTCTGGCTCTGGAAACTTTTGCAAGTAAACAGTAAGGATTAGGTAGCACAATTTATTAACTTATCAGAACTTTGCTTGCATCTTATAGTTCAACTTATTTTCCGTTTTGACATAGGGTTAGGTCTGCACAAGTTGTCATCCATGTTCCATCCTCATACCTTTGTCTTTAGTAAAATTAATTGCAAAAATATTAATTTCAATGACACAAAGCCGTCGAGGAGGATTGCTATGCTTTTTACAAGAGGTTTGGTCCCAAAAAGGACCCAAATTACTGATAGACAAGTATGCAAGCTGCTGGTTATGACATTGCAAATTACAATCTCCCATCTGCGCTCTTCAGTTATCTATATCCTAGGAAAGGAAGAGGATAGGGAGAAAGTGAGAATGACGGAGAAAGGATTGATAAGATGTTGT